AAGATTCTTTCAAACTCTTCTAAAAAAGTCTTTGATCTTAAAATCAAAGATTTGTGGACCTTGAAAATTTTGTCATTAAAAAAAGACACTAGGGATTCCCGAGATTCTTTCAAATTAAAAAAAAAAACACTGCAATGGGAACTCCCGACATTCTTGACATTTTTTAAAAAACTACAGTAATGTTCCCCGAGATTGTTAGCATTCTTAAAAAAAAACACTGTGTTCCCCGGCATTCTTCCGCTTTCTTAAAAAATAATTTAGAGACTCCGGAGATTTTTTACAATCTTAAAAAAAGACACTAGGGACCACTGAGTTTCTTTCAAACTCTTCTAAAAAAGCACACTAGGAAACCCCAAGATTCTTAACATTCTTAAAAAACAACTGTAGGCTTCCCCGAGATTCTTACGTATTTTTAAAAAACACTAGGAGCCCCCGAGATTCTTTCAAATTCTAAAAAAAAACACACTAAGAACATCAAGGATTTCTCTTTTTCTTGACATTCTTTAATCTTAAAATAAAAGATTTGTGGACCTTGAGATTCTTGTCATTAAAAACAAGACATTAGGAATTCCCGAGATTTTTTCAAATTCTTAAAAAAAAGAGACTGGGAACCCCAGCGATACTTGACATTCTTAAAAAAAAACACTGTGTTCCTCGGCATTCTTAGGCTTTCATAAAAAAATATTCTAGAAATTCCGAAGATTCTTACACATATATTCCTAAAAAAGGACACTAGGGACCCCTGAGATTCCTTTAAACTTAAAAAAAAGACACTAGGAAACCCCATGATTCTTAATAGGTGTCCGCGAGGTTCTTTCAAATTCTAAAAAAAAAACTAGGATCCTCAAAGATTCTTGACGTTCTTTAATCTTAAAATAAAAGATTTGTGGACCTTTATATTCTTGTCATTAAAAAAAAAGACACTAGGAGTACCCAAGACTCTTTCAAATTAAAAAAAAACACTGGGATTTGAACCCTCGAAATTCTTGACATTCTTTAAAAAGAAACACTAAAAATCCCAGGGATGCTTTCAAATTCTTAAAAAAAAGAGACTGAGAACCCCAGAGATACTTGATATTCTTTAAAAAACTACAGTAATGTTCGCCAGATTTTTGGTATTTAAAAATAAAAACACACACACACACACACACACACACACACTGTGTTCCCGGCATTATTAGCGTTCATAAAAAATATTCTAGAGACTCCGAAGATTCTTACACATATATTCTTAAAAAAAAGACACTTGGGACCCCTGAGATTCTTCCAAATTCTTCTAAAAAAAGACACTAAAACTCCAACATTCTTAACATTTTTTAAAAAACCTGTAGGGCTCCCCAAGATTTTTTATTTTTAAAAAACACCTTAGGGGTCCCCGAGATTATTTCAAATTTAAAAAAAAAACACACTAGGAACCTCAAAGATTCTTGATGTTCTTTAATCTTAAAACAAAAGATTTGTGCACCTTGAGATTATTGACATAAAAAAAGACACTAGGGATTCCTGAGATTCTTTCAAATTAAAAACAAAAACACTGGGATATGAACCCCCCAATTTTTTTTAAAACAGGCACTAAAAGTCCCAGAGATTCTTTCAAAATTCTAAAAAAAAGAGAATTCCAGAGATAGTTGACATTCTTTAACAACCACACCAATGTTCCCCGAGATTCTTGGCATTTTTGAGAATATTTAGACCACGTTGTCAAAAATGAAACTTTCCACTATACCGAGTGTCTAGAAAATGGCGGATTAACTCTCCGTTTCGCTCTTAACAATCCACATTTTGGTGGAATTATAATGATTCTAAAATTGGTTCGTTTGCTACATTTACAAACTAAACAACACATTAATTATCATAATAACTTGTAATAAAACTTTTAGTTAAAATTTCTCTCATGACCATGTTTAATTACCATTTCAATTAGAATGTATATGGTTGTGTTATTTTTGGAATAATTTGATAAAATTCCATTTGACAACAATGTTTGCCTGATATTAAGCAAAAGTATAAATCAGCAAAAATCGAGTAAGCAGTTAAAAGTGTTTGACGTATCAAAAACTAACCCCGCCCACCCACCCTGTCTTTTCTTGGAAGGTATCTCATCTGCCAAAATCAGTCTTATCTTAGCAGGTACTAGCCCCGCCCACCCGCCCGCTCTTCTCTTAGAGGGTATCTCATTTGCCAAAATCAGTCTTATCTTAGCAAGTACTAGCCCCGCCCACCCGCCCTCTTTTCATTCTCAGGACTAATTTTATTTCTGTGGCTTATAAGATCATTTATTTCATTCAAATTGGATAAAATTAATCATTGAAAAGAAGGAAGGGTGGGTGGGCGGGGCTAATTATGTCCTTATGTCGAGTGGGAGTGGACAGTAATAAAAAGCGCTAATCGTATTTTTTTATTACACTGTTTGCTATAAAATTTATTTCTTATTTCATGCGCCTGACAAGACTTTGGATAATTTTCGAAAAAAGTTGAAAAATGGTCGAAACTGTCAAAAGTGCCAAAATTAGTCTTATATTATCAAATACTTAAAAAATATTCTAGAAACTCTGGAGATTGTTGTCACATTCTTAAAAAAAACACTAGAGACCCCTGAGATTCTTTCAAATTCTTCTAAAAAAAGACACTAAAGCATTTTTAACATTCTTTAAAAAAAAACTTGTAGGGTTCCGCGAGTTTCTTACGTATTTAAAAAAAATACACTAAGAGCCCCCCAGATTCTTTCTTCAAATTCTGAAAAAAAATAACACACTAGGGGCCCCAAAGATTTTTCTTGACATTCTTTAGTCTTAAAATAAAAGAGTTGTGGACCTTGAGATTCTTGTCATTAAAAAAAAGACACTAAGCGTTCCCGAGAGTCTTTCAAATTAAAAACAAAAAAAAAACAATGGGATATGAATCCCCAAGATTCTTGACATTCTTTAAAGAAAAAACACAGCAGGGTTACCCGAGATTCTTCCGCTTTCTTAAAAAATATTCTAGGAATACCAGAAATTCGTTTAAATTAAAAAAAAGGACATTCGAAATTTTTTCAAATTCTTAAAAAAACTACACTGGGTCTCCCAGAAATTCTTGACATTCTTTAAAAAGAAAACCACATCAGGACTCGCCGGAGATCTTGGTCTTCTTTAAAAAAATACACTTTGTATTCCCTCGACAGAGACTCCTGAGATTTTTCCAAATTTTTTTTCCAAAAATCTGAATGCCTAGAATAACATCTCAACGCGGATTCACAAACCACAACTGCAGGGGTATGTTATTTTATAAAATTTAAATAACATTTACTAAGTATTATAAATTCTTTCTAGTAAAAAAATCTGTCTAGCAAAAATTTGAACAGACAAGAGATTGGCAGACAGACAGACAGATGGCTTACAGTCAGAAGGTAAAAAGGATAGTTCAATAAATTAGAAGATGGTTCTTCTAACTTTTCTTCCAAAATTTCAGAAACACAGGAATTGAAAATTTTGGCATGATTATTGCAAGTCAAGCTCGAATGAAAAAAAAAACAAATCGGAGAAGACAAAAGAAATGTATATAATTGGATCTTAGAAATTAATTTATTTAATGGCCAAAACTGCGTATCTGAGACAAATCTTTTGTTCAATAGTATAACAAATTATATCAAGAAATATTAAAACTATTGCTCTATTATTAAACTTTCACACATACAATGACAATAATTTGAGTGTTTTATAAAAAAAAAAAAAACTATTCTTCTAATAAATATTTTTCACAAAATCTTGAACAACAGCCTGTAATAAAGATAGAAGTCTGACTGATTAAAAATCACAAAAAACACAAGAATAAAGAATGTACCTCCAGGAATTCTTGTTTTCAAAAAGATTGAAACAAATATATAGGCATGAAACAGACATTTTTCAATTTAGCGGGCAATTTTTGTAGACAATTCCGTTTGCTTGTTCATTTATCAAAGAAGAGAAAAATACGCTTTAAGAGACCTTAATTTGAAATGCTTTTTGTCAAAATTTCTGTGTGTGTTAGAGGATTCTTTACAAAAAACTGTCACTGATGTATTATGGAGACATGTTTCTACTTGACGCTAAAAAGTGAACTCCATTTTTATATATTACTCAACTTGTCATTAAACTCGACTTTTACCTCCTGTCAACATCTCCAAGAGACTTTTTTCCAGAAAACTTTTTGTATTACTTCCAATTATTTATTCGAATTCCGCATCATCTTTTTCCTCCACCCGAACTAAATCCCACAACTGTCGAGAGAGGATAGATGTCATTAAGCAAGATTAAATTCATAGCGTAATAAACGATATTGAAAGTTTGAAACATCCCATACAATCATCCCACAACAGACTGGTAACTGATGACATGGCAACTTGGGAATATTGAGCTTTCAAAGGGGGAAAATGCCCTGCAGTCACAGGGATAAACAGAGAGGGGTGTACCGTTCGAGAGTTCGTTGCCGAAAAAGGAGGGAACGTGTATCAGGAGCGGCTGTAATTGTGATGAAGTCAGCTCAACATCTTTATTAACTGCTAAGTGAGTATACGACGCTACAAAGGATCGGATACGTGTGGGCGGTCGTATACTCCGCCGTCTCCGGAATTTATTCACTATTTTCGCCACTTTTCTTACAATAAAACTTGCCAGCCAGAGAGGAGTAAATAGTTCTGTACGCGAAAATACGAGCCACGAATGTGGGTGTCGCGAAATTTTCATCATCACCAGGATATTTAACAAAGTGTAAATTTTCTTTGTAGTGTAGGTGTTTTCCAATAACGCAAACGAGCTTGATTTGATGAGCATTACCCACGCAGATGCAAAAAGTCGTCTTTAATTACGCTATTTACCTACCACGCTGGAGATAAGTGGGTACAAATTGGGTTCGTGCTACTGGAAAATATTTGATTAAAATTTTGATTTTGCTATTTTCTTATGGCGGAAATTACCCACAAACTTTAACATTTTAGCTACAATCGTTAGAAAAACTTGATCTCACTTTTATTAACAGCTTACCTGCCCACGAAATCATCCGGATATGGAATAATAACGCCCTCCGGACTGGGCCTCAGCGAATTTCCTATCCAGAAGAAAGCATCGGGTCCTGTCCCATCGTACGTGAACCCTTTGATGAAAATCGTGCTTTCGTCCACGGCATAAACGGTTCCTTTTATTCCATGGGCATATGTTATGAAGGGACCTATGAGACGGCCATAATATGGCTCCGGATGTCTTCCGCCTAATCCTGAAATTAAAAAAGAACCGTTACGTAAAGCCGGGAAACATTTTTCTTCTTGAGCTTTATCCTGGACTTGTTACCCGTAACTGAATCAATTTGCCGGTTAGAATGATCATTATTGGCGGCACCCTCGGTACAACCCAATAAAAATCTATATAATTTATTGAGTTAGAGACCTCGCAGACTACTGATTTCCCCCTTGGTTGTGCGTTGGGGAGGTTTATGTTCGTGTTGTCACATTTCTAGGCGTTATTACTGACCACTGATGCTCGTTATGCGCATTGGGAAATAATAGATGGGCGAAAAAATTGTTTTTCTCTTAGTTTAGGTCTTTAACAGTTATGTAGTCGATGGTAACGCAAACGAGAATGGAAGCGAGACATGATATGTGTGGTTTATTCGTGCTAGAATAGGAGCTTTACACCTGTAAAAAAATTGATCGTCGAAGATTATTTCGACAGAAATTCCCTCGCTTTTGAAGGGTAGCCCAATAAATCCCGCTTATTTGAAAAATGATAAAAAAATGCGACTTTTGTTTTCTAATAAATTCTATAAAATAAACACTAGAGACCCGAATTTATCAATTCTTCAATTCTTAATTTCGTAATTTTTCGATTTGCAATTTTTCATTTCAGTTTTTATTTCCTAAATTTTTCAATTCGCATTTTCACTGTTCAAATTTAATTTTTCTTCAATTTTAATTTTCTCGATTTGCGATTTTTCAATTTTTTTTGTTTCTTCAGTTTTTAGATTTTGCAACCTTTCGATTTAATGTTTCTCTAGTTTTCAGTTTTTAAATTTTCAATTTTTCGATTCTCCAATTTTTCGCTTCTTCAATTTTTCATTTCTTCAAATCTTCGATATACAATTTTTGGTTTCAGTTTTACATTTTCTATATTTTTACAATTTTTCGTTTCTTCGATTTTTTGATTTTCAATCTTTGTTTCGACTTTTATTTTCTTTATTTTTTTAATTATTCGATTTTACAATGTTCCAATTTCATAATTTTTTTTCAATTGTAATTTTCTCGATTTGCAATTTTTCGATTTAAATTATTTCCGAGTTTTTAATTTTTCGATTCTTCAATTTTTCGTTTCTTCAATTTTTTATTTCTTCAAATTTTCCATTTACAATTTTTGGTTTTAGTTTTCCATTTTCTTTATTTTTACAATTTCTCGTCTTTTCAATTTTTTGATACGCAATTTTTTGATTCTTCAATTTTTCGCTTCTTCAATTTTTGGTTTTAGTTTTCCATTTTCTTTACTTTTACAATTTCTCGTCTTTTCAATTTTTTGATACGCAATTTTTCGATTCTTCAATTTTTCGCTTCTTCAATTTTTCATTTCTTCAAATTTTCGACTTGCATTTTTTTCCAGTTTTAACTTTCTTGATTTGCGATTTTTCAATTCTTCATTTCATTTTGTTTCTTCAGTTTTCAGATTTTCCAATCTTTTGAATTAAAATTTCTCGACTTTTCGGTTTTAAAATTTTTAATTTTTCGTTTCTTCAATTTTTCGCTTCTTTAATTTTTCATTTCTTCAAATTTTCGATTTACAATTTTTGGTTTCAGTTTTCCATTTTCTTTATGTTTTCTTTATTTTTTCAATTATTCGATTGTTCAATATTCCAATTTCATAATTTTTTTCAATTTTAATTTTTTCAATTTTAATTATTTCGATTTTTCATTTTTTCGTTTTTTGTTTCTTCAGTTCTTAGATTTTGCAATTTTTCGATTTAAAATTTCTCGAGTTTTCGATTTTAAAATTTTCAATTTTTCGATTTTTCCATTTTTAATTTCTTTAAAGTTTCGATTCACAACTTGGGGCTTCAGTTTTCCATTTTCTTTATTTTTACAATTTTCCGTTTCTTCAATTTTTTGATTTGCAATGTTTTGTTTCAATTTATTTCCTTTATTTTTTTCTATTATTCGATTTTTCAATTTAAATTTTTTTTGTACTTTTTTCGATTTGCGATTTTTCAACGTTTTTTGTTTCTTCAGTTTTTAGATTTTGCAATCTTTCGATTTAACATTTCTCGAGTTTTCAGTTTTTAAATTTTCAACTTTTCGATTCTTCAATTTTTCATTTCTTCAAATTTTCGATTTACAATTTTTGGTTTTAGTTTTCCATTTTCTTTATTTTTACAATTTCTCGATTCTTCAATTTTTCATCTCTTCAAATTTTCGACTTACATTCTTTTCCGGTTTTAATTTTTTTGGTTTACGATTTTTCAATTCTTCAATTCATTTTGTTTCTTCAGTTTTCCGATTTTCCAATTTTTTTAATTAAAATTTCTCGACTTTTCAGTTTTAAAATTTTTAATTTTTAATTTCTTCAATTTTTCGCTTCTTTAATTTTTCATTTATTCAAATTTTCGATTTACAATTTTTGGTTTCAGTTTTCCATTTTCTTTATTTTTTCCATTATTCGATTTTTCAATGTTCCAATTTCATTATTTTTTTCAATTTTAATTTTTTCAATTTTAATTATTTCGATTTTTCATTTTTTCATTTTTTTTTGTTTCTTCAGTTCTTAGATTTTGCAATTTTTCGATTTAAAATTTCTCTAGTTTTCGATTTTTAAATTTTCAATTTTTCGATTTTTCCATTTTTAATTTCTTTAAAGTTTCGATTCACAACTTCGGGCTTCAGTTTTCCATTTTCTTTATTTTTACAATTCTCCGTTTCTTCAATTCTTTGATTTGCAATGTTTTGTTTCAATTTATTTCCTTTATTTTTTCTAATATCCGATTTTCCAATTTATTTTTTTTTTTATGTAATTTTTTTCAATTTGCGATTTCTCAGTTTTTCAACGTTTTTTGTTTCTTCAGTTTTTAGATTTTGCAATTTTTCGATTTTTCAATTTTTCGCTTCCTCAATCCTTCATTTTTTCAAATTTTCGGGTTACAATTTTTGGTTTCAGTTTTTCATTTTCTTCATTTCTGCAATTTTTTTATTTCTTTAATGTTTTGATTTCCAATTTTTTATTTTCACCATTTTTTCAATGATTCCATTTTTCAATGTTCGGATTTCATTTTTTTAAATTTTAATTTTTTCGCAAATTTATCAGTTTTTCATTTCTTTCTTCAGTTTTTAGATTTCTCGTTTCTTCAATTTTTGCTTCCTCACTTCTTCATTTCTTCAAATTTTCGATTTACAATTTTTGATTTTAGTTTCCCTATTTTAATTTTTAAAATTTTGTTTCTTCAGTTTTTTGAATAGCAATTTTTCGTTTATATTTTTTTTTTAATTTTTCAATTATTCGATTTTTCAATGTTCCCATTTCATAGTTTTTCAATTTTAATTTACTCGATTTGCATTTTTTCTATTTTTTTTTTTGGTTCAATTTTTCGATTTTAAATTTCTCGAGTTTTTGATTTTTAAAATTTCAATTTTTCGATTCTTCAGTTTTTAGCTTTCTTTTTTTATATTCTGAATTTCCAATTTTAATTTTTCCGATTTGCGATTTTTTAATTTTTAATTTTTTTTGTTTCTTCGGTTTGTAGATTTTGCATTTTTAATTTAAAATTTTTGAGTTGTCAGTTTTTAAATTTTCAGTTTTTCATTTCTTCAATTTTAGATTTTTCAGTTTCTCGATTATTCAATTTTCCATTTCTTCAATTTTTGTTTTGCAATTTTTCATTTTAAATATGTATACATATAATAATAATTATAATGTTTTAAAATTTTCGTTTTTTTTTTTCAATTTCTCGATATTTAATTTTTCAGTTTTTCGATCTTTCACTGCTACAGTTTTTCGACTTCACAATTTTGACGATTCTATAATTTTTTGATTTCACAATTTTTGGGTTTTCCAGTTTTTTGATTTGATTCGTTTTATTCTTCCAATTTTTCGTTCCTTTTTTTTTAGAATTTTTAACTTTCTCGATTTTTAATTTTTCAATGTTTCGATTTTTCCTTGTTTCATTTCTTGGATTATTCAATCTTGTTCGTTTTTTTGTTTTTAGATTTTTAATTTTTCGAATTTTCGATTTTTCAGTTTTTCAATTTTTCGACTTTACGAATCAAAAAATATAAAAATTATAAAACTGTGTATGTAATTGAAAATTCAAAAATTAAAATCCGAAAAAATATGAAATGAAAGTATTGAAAAATCTAGAAATGGATATCAACATGAAAAATTTAAAAAATTGAAAGATTTAAAACAGAAACATAAAAATAGAAAAACTGCAACCTCGAAAAAAACAATATTGTAAATTCGAAATACTGAAAATTAAAGAAATCGGAAAATCTGCTAAATTGTAAAAATGGAAACACTGCAAAATTATAAAATTCAAAAATCAAAAATTAAAAACGGAACATCGGATAATTGAGAAATTAAAAAAAAGATTGAAATTTTGAAGAACTGAATAAACGGAAAATTATAAACTCGAAAGACATATTGAAAAAATAGAGGAAGTAAAAAAACGAGAGTAATAAAATCGAGAACATGAAACTAAGACATCAGGAAAATGAAAAATAAAAATTATGAATTTGAAAAATTCAGGAAACGAAAAATTCAAAAATCAAAAAAACTAAATATAAAATCGAAATATTGAAAATTAAGACATCCCAAAAATTTTAAAATTGGAAAATCAGGGAATTGAAAACCCAAATATTAAAAATTTGAAGAACTGAAAGAGTAAAGGAAATGAAAAATGAAAAATTGTAATATAAAATCGAGAAAATGAAAATTAAAAAATTGAAAAAATGAAAAATAAAAATCATGAACTTCAAAAATTGAGAAAACGAATTTTTAATCGAAAAACTAAAAATTGAGAAACTGAAAAATTGTGATATCAAAAAATTGTTATTTATATAGTTAATATTTTGTCGTTGTTTCTATTAATTCTAATTACAGATTTTTCTAGAAATATAAGATTTAATTTTGGGAATTTTATTTTATTATGATAACACTTATAAGTTAAAATAAAAATATGTATAGTAAACTCAGTTGACTTGTACCTAGAAAAACTTTACAGTTGTGTCCTATTGTTCGTTAGTTGGG